ATTGTAGAGATGAGGTCTCGCTGCCCAGGCGGGTCTCGAACCTGCGGGCTCAGGCAATCCACTCACCTCAGCCTCCCAAAGGCGCGGGATTACAGGCTGAGCCACCGAGCCCGGCTAAGTTTTTTAAAAGCACAGAAAACTATATAAATATTAAAACAAATGTCCTAACTTTCCAGGCATGAAAGAATATGTAAATACTATGAGTCTAGTGTGTCTAGTTGTACCCATTCGTGTCTTCAGCCTGATACCGGACACCTGGAATAGCCTGGCCTGCTGGGCTCCAGCGATCCCTCCTCCTCAGCCTTCCAAGTAGCTGGAACTACAGGTGCGTGTGCGTGCTACCACGCTTGGCTCATTTTTTATTTATTGTAGAGATGAGGTCTCGTGAAGTTGCCCAGGTGGGCAGGTATCTTTTTGATAGAGTGATTTGAGTTCTGCAGGGTATATTCCCAGTAGGGGGATTGCGGGGTCATATGGGAGGTTGATATTTACAGCTTTTAGGAATCGCTACACTGCCTTCCACAGAGGTTGCACTAGTTTACGCTCCCATCAACAGTGTAGAAGTGTTTCCTTGTCGCTTCACCCTCTCCAGCAGCTGTTATTTTTTGAGTTGTTGATAATTGCCATTCTGGCTGGAGTTAGGTGGTATCTCAGTGTGGTTTTGATTTGCATCTCCCTGATGATTAGTGAGGTTGAACATTTCTTCATGTGTCTGTTGGCTGCTCGATGTCTTCCTTTGTGCAGTGTCTGTTCATATCTTTTGCCCATTTTATAATGGGGTTGTTTGTTTTTTTCTTTTCAGCACATTTGAGTTCCTTGTAGATGTTAAGCCTTTGTCAGACCTGGAGTTGGCAAATACTTTTTCCCAGTCTGTAGGCTGTCTCCCTGCTCTCTTGGTGGTTTCTTTGGCTTTGCAGAAGCTTGTCAGTTTAATGAGGTCCCACTTGTCTATCTTATCTCTTATGGCCTGTGGGTTTTGGGTTTTGTTCAGGAATTGGATGCCACTTCCAATTTCCATGAGGATATGCCCTTCCTTTTCTAAGGTTCTTATGGTTTGAGGTTTTACATTGAGGTCTCTGATCCATTTGGAGTTAATTTTTGTATATGGGGATAGATAGGGGTCCTGTTTCAATCTTCTGCATGTGGCCAACCAGTTTTCCCAGCACCATTTACTGAATAGGTTCTCCTCTCCCCAGTGGTAGGTGGTGGAGGCTTTGTTGAAGACGAGTTGGTTGAGAAATTGAGGTTTTGCTTCTGGAATCTCAATTCTATTCCATTGGTCTATATGCCTGTTCCTGTACCAATACCAAGCTGTTTTGATGATTGTAGCTTTATAGTAAAGTTTGAAGTCTGGTAATGTGATACCACCTACTTTGTTTTTTTTTTTTTTCTGAGGATTGTTCTGGTTATTCTTGGTCATTTGTGTTGCCATATGAATTCCTGTGTTGTTTTTTTCTAGGTCTGAGAAGAATGTTGCTGGTAATTTGAAGGGTATTGCATTAAATCTGTAGATTGCCTCAGGTAGGATGGACATCTTCACAATGTTGATTCTTCCAATCCATGAGCATGGGATATTTTTCCACTTGTTTGTGTCATCTTTGATTTCTTTGAGCAGTGTTTTGTAGTTTTCATTGTAAAGGTCTTTCACTATCAAATTTGTTTATCTCTTCAAAGAACCAACTTTTTGTTTCACTGATCCTTTGTATTATCCTCTTCGTTTCAACTTAGTTTAGTTCTTCTCCGATCTTTATTGCTATTTTTTTCCTTTTGCTAGCTTTGAGTTTAGTTTTTAGTTTATTCATGTTTTTTATTTCCTCAGGGTGTGATATCAGGTTGTCAATTTGTGATCTTTCAGTCTTTTTGTGTGTATGTTTGAGCCCGAGTCTCATGTCACCCAAACTGAATGCAGTGGCACTGTGGCACTGACCACCTGGGCTCAAGCAATCCTCCTGCCTCAACCTCCTGAGTAGCTGGGACTATGGGCGTATACCACCACACCCAGCTAATTTTTTTATTTTTTGTAGAACAGAGCTAGACTCAAACTCCTGGACTCAGGCAATTCTCCCACCTCAGCCTCCCAAAGTGCTGGGATTACAGACATGAGCCACCATGTCCAGCCTCTTCCAGTCTTTTTAATGCAGGTTTTACACACTATAAATGTTCTTCTGAGCATAGTTTTGGCTGTGTTGCAGAGGTTTTGATATCTTGTGTGATTGTCATTTATTTCAAGGAATTTTTAAATTTGCATCTTGATTTCATTGTTGATTCAAAGATCATTCAGGAGAAGAATTGTTTAATTTCCATGCCTTTCTTTGGTTTTGAGACTTCTTGGAGTTGATTTCTAGTTTTATTCCATCCACTGTTGACTGAGAAGGTGCTTGATATGATTTCAATTTTTTTGAATTTATTGAGACTTGGTTTGTGGCCTATCATAGAGTCTATCTTAGAAAATATTTCATGCACTGATGAGAAAAATGTATATTCCATAGTTTGGGGGTAGAATGTTCTGTACATGTCTGTTAGTTCCAGCTACTTGGAAGGCTCTGGGGTCCAGTTTAACTCCAGTGTTTCTTTGTTGATCTTCTGCATTGATGATCTATCTATTGCTGTCAGTAGAATGTTTAAGTCCCCCACTATTACTATTTTACCTTCTATCACTTTTCTTAGGTCTAATAGAATTTGTTTTAAAAGCCTGGAGCTCTGGTATTAGGTGCATATATATTTAAAATTGTTGGCCGGGCACACTGGTTCATGCCTGTAATCCCAGCACTTTCAGAGCCCGAGGTGAGAGGATTGCCTGGGCCTGCATGTTCAAGATCAGCCCAGGCAACTTGGCAAGACCTCACCTCTACAATAAATCAAAAAAATGAGCTGGACATGGTGGCGCGTGCCTGTACTTCTGTCTACTTGGAAGGCTTAGGTGCAAGAAGCGACTGAGCCCAGCAGGTCCAGGTGGCCAGGAGCAAACCATTGCCCTCCAGCCTGGGTAACAGAGTGAGACTCCGACTCAAGAAAAAAAATGAAATTGTTATATGTTCTTGTTAGATTGATCCTATTATACATTATACAATAACCGTCCTTGTTTTTTTTTTTCATTGTTCTTAATATCTAATATGAGAATGGGTGCTTCTACTCATTTTTTGTTTCCATTTACATGGAATTTTTTTTTCACCTGAGTCTGTGGGAGTCTTTGTATGGTTTGTTGTTGTTGTTGTTGTTTTGAGCTGGAGTCTCACTCTGTCACCCAGGCTGGAGTGCAGCGACTTGCTCATGGCTACCGCAGCCTCAACCTGCTGGGCTCCAGCGATCCTTCTGCCTCAGCCTGCCACGTAACTGAAACCACAGGCATGCCACAATACCTGGCTAATTTTTTCTTTTTTATTTATTGTAGAGACAAGAGCTCTCTGTGTTGCCCA